CAAAAATGTTGCACACCCCCTGGTCCAGAACAATAGAATGAAATAGTAAATTGTATTGAATCCCAGTACCACGCCCCTCGATTGTTTTTTTCTGTCTAGGTCGGATATGAGAATAGTCAATTTTACCAGATTGTAAATACATGGACTTCGTTGAAAGTTTCTGTTTCTTGTTTGGTGTTTTAATAATCTAGGAAGAATTTTACATTCTTTGTTTGCCGTAAATTATCCCTCATCAAGCATACATCATGGATGATCAGTGTATATTTTATCAATTACCCATATATGGCCGTGACACATAATTTAAATTTATAAACTGATAATAAACTTGAACAAACTGTCATAAATTTTATTACTTTTGTCAGACAGAACTCATGAATTTAAAATTATGTTTTTGACCTTCATCAATGCATTATTTGACCTTGGAACAGATGAAAGAATGTTTTTCATTCATGAACTACATTCCTCAATGTTCTCTCTGAGCAAGGCACTGGAGTGGACAGCCAGCCATTGTCATTACTTATCGATTTTAAGTATGTTGATAGGTATTTGTCTGTCTGTATGTTTGTCTGTTAGATGCACGTGATATCTCACGAAAGCGAGATTGAATCTGCTCCAGATTTTGCATATGCATTCATCTTATCTCGGACCAGAAGCCTATTGATTTTGGGCGAATTATGTCGTATTTTAGCGAGTTATCAATCAATTATTGATTTAGTGATCTAGATTTTTGTAAAGCGAGAGAATTTTTGAGACCCGCCGAGTGTGTGTGTGCGATGCGCAGTGCGCAAGTTACAAGAGCGGATGAATCGAAACTGCAGTTTCTGTTTTGGGGGATCCCCTAACTATCGATCGATAAGTCTTCGGTTTCCAACCGATATTCTCGTTATTTATATTTACTTTGTGTTAAACCAGTGGTTTTCAACCAGGTACTTGCCAGTATAGTACAGTGATTTCACTATCTTAAGCTCAAAGGAGGGGGGTTGTATTCTGAAATTTCCTATTGCCAAGTTAGACCACAACAGCTATCGGCTCTGGCCTGAGGCTGGAAAAAGTGGGTTTTCAAATTTTTCTCACTCAGAGTTTAAAGCAATTTGTTTAAATCTTTTAATTAAGCTGACTGGTGTTTCAATATCACATGCTGGGAGATTGTAATAATCCTCTTGAATAGACTGGCTCATCGATTGCTCATAAAACCACTTGAGTACGCATCGTTAGACTAATCCTTCCTCTTCAATCTCTAACTCAGCGTTAACAACGCAGTTTTAGCCGATTGTTTATTGGTAATACATTATATTGAATCTTCGTTGCTATGTTTTCACAATTTTATTAAATGGTTTGCTATGAACCAATGTTAAACAATTAAATGCTCATTTTCAATATGGGTTATATTTAATTCACATAATTATGTATATAAGATTTCTTTGTGTCAAGACTTTGACACGCATTAACTTTATACAACCAAGTACCATTATATAATATTTATTATATATGTACATTGAACGGTACTCCCATAATGTGTGTACCAGGTCAGCGTTAGGCCATAATTTTATACCAATTTTCCTTGCTTCAGTTCTATTCCGTGTTAGCCAATTGAATGCCCCCTGCCCATAGGTTTCAGTTCCTTTACACAACTTGATGTAAAGTAGGCACTAGGCAAACAAAATTAATTACCTCCATATTGGTACACACAATTCTAGAGCGCCCTCATTTATTATATGTACATTGAAAACTAAGATATTAGGCAGTGAGATATCTTCTGTTTTAATAACAGTTTATACTTTTCCATCTTTCAATTGATAGATTGATATTTAAAATTTGGTCAATTTTTTAGCATTTTATCAAATTAGAATTTGTAAATAAATAACACTTTTAATGTCAGCGAATTTTACCAGAGTATAGTGGGATTCCTAACTGATGAAATCAACTTGAGGCACAGATGTTCAAAACTAAAATTGATTTGTATGGGTATTGCAGTCATATTTGTATATATTGTAAAACTAGTACCATATTCTACTCTGAAAACTTGATAAAGGCAACGAGGGATATCTGTATGCAAATTGTGAGCTAGAAATCATTTCATATTTGAATTGTCTAAATTAATTTTGCAAACTCTCCCATTTACGATAATTCAACAAAAATATTGCTATCACCAAAAAACTATCTTTTTCTGATAACATTACTTACCGTAGTACAAATTTTATTGAAATCTAACACTTCGGAATAACAAGCACATAATATAGTTTGTTTACTCATCTTTGGTTAAATTATCTCAACCGAAATAGAAGAGTTACGTCAGTAAAACCTGAATCATATGTCTATAATTCAAATGCGGTGGAAATAATTTTAATGGATTGTTCAGCAGATTATCACGTACGCTTTATTCAAGGTATATTTAAGGAATTTAGTTTGAGTGAAGGTCAGAATATGGTATATTTGTAAAATTTGTTTATAGTATAGGACAAGAAATTGGTAATTTTGTTTTTCAACTTGAATCGTTGGGTAATTTCCATCTGCTGTTCTTATTCGTTGAAAATTTTTTTGCACTGATACTCAGCATCAATTCAATCAGTGAGTTTAGTAGTTTTCACCAGGGAAGTGCAACCTTTATTACATGGGGGCCAGATTCAAGTGATTGAGTGAAGCCACAGGCCGCACTTTTATTTAAGATATAATTCATAGTAGTTTCAGACACAAAAAAAATTTTTTGCTAGCTAGTTTTGCTAATATGACAGTGGCACTCGGGCACTGGCACAGGCTTTGCGACGAAAAGTGATTGAAATTTCTTGCACATGTCACAATAACTAAACTGAAAACTCGTTTTGCGGGCACACCATTCAAAATCTGCACTTCTCCGCGGGCTGCACTATTTTTCCTTACAGGCCGCATTTGGCTCGCGGGCCGCAGTTCGCACACCACTGGCTTACACATATTACCTATATAATAGGTTCATAATATTCTTACTTTTTCAAATTTCAATTAAAATTTATACCAGATTGTGCATTAATATATTACACATTCGGATACTTCATTGATAATTGGAAAATCAAAAATGACATTTTGTATTTTTTTTCGGCTTTTCAGTTTTATGTTTGTGATATTGTACAATATTTCCATATTCTTCTACCCTTGTTTTTTTCTGAGTATTGGTATCAGTATTTATTGTTCTCTGTACTGCAAGAAAATTATAATGCAATTATGTCACATGTGTTGAATCATACTGAATGTAATATAAGTTATACCACACTTAACGTTTTTGTCGTTTGTGTTTCAGTTTATTATGATAAATGAAAATTTTGAATTTGAAATTTTGGTAGTGTACTATCATTTAATTTTTCTGTCCAAAAAAATTGATAACATTAATTTAAACCTTAACCTTAACTTTCTAATTTTTTAGTTTCGTCAAGACCTTATTCTCATTACCTCAAGAAAAATCATGCAACTATGTGTCGAATCATAAATAATGTATTATACCACACTTAGCGGTTTTGTTGTTTGTGTTGCAAACATTGAGGTGTGACATGCACATGTTTTCATAATAATAGTATTTGCTGTGTGTAGTGACAGTGGCCTTTCACCTACATGCCAGGAAGCAAACAAAGTATTTTATGTATTTTGTAAACATAAATTACTGATTATTAAAATGGTATGAATATGATTTTATTCCAAACAGATTCTAAAAACCAAATTTAAAATGTCTCTGATATTCCATATTGAAAAAAATATTTCAGAATTTATTTATAATGAAAAATTATTTATTTCGGCATCTCTAGATCTCCAGTTAAACTTATTCATTTAATAAAGCCTTCTCCATATGCAAAAATATTTCAGAACGTATTTAGAATACTAAATTTTTTGATGTAGGTAAAACAAGATAGTTCAATAGTTTCACATTAATGCTATGTTTTTGTTCACAGTAATCCTTACTGTCATGTTGTTATTTCACTGCATGCCTCATTGGTCACTTGGTCAATGGTAAAATGGTCACACCATTCATTCAGCTGTAAAAGGACACTTTGTTCTTGGTGATATGCAAAGCATGTGCTCTGTCTGTTTGTGGTATTTATTTAAAAAAAAAAACTATTTGACTTATCGAAACGTACATTGTATGTATGTATGTATCTCTCAAATATTTTTTGAGGAAGTGTTTATTACAAGAAATCGTTTTATTTGGACACCCCTAGTTAAAATTTATTTTACATTGCGTGATAGAACCAATTTCTCTTCACTCAACCTAGACTTATAAAATTTAATATCAAGTAGGCGTGATAGCTTTTGTCAAACTCAAACAACCGTAGCTTATTTACTTTGCCTATAGCATTGAATAGATTTTTCCTCTCTGATGGTTTTCGTTGAATCTGTGTGGTCTGTTTACCTATGAAATGTAATTTTCTTTTATCGAGACAGCATTATGTCATAGCTCATAAAAAAATTTGAAATACCACTCAAGTAAATGTCAGGGCGCTCCAGAAGTATGTGTACCAATATGGAGGTAACTAATTTAGTTCGCCTACTGTACATCAGGTTGTGTAAGGGGACTGAAACCTATGAAGAGGGAGTATATTCATTTGGCTAAAACAGGCTTTATCCTAACCTGGTACACACACTGAGTACCAATGTCAGTGTCTGATTGTCGTTGCTGTGAAATGAAGAAATTTATTAAATAGAGCAGGTACAGGTTGTCAGAGTTGAACTGGATACGAATCATAGTGAAATTATCATTGGATGCTTGTAGAGAGCCTTGTTAAGAGATTAATTTGAACAAAATCAACTTAGATATCTCATTATAAAATAAGTAGACAACTAATATATTATTATGTGAATAACATAGATTCATGTACGAAATTAAGTTATCTTACTTTATATTAAATGATGAAATGATTTATTTTTGTTAATATAATTTACTCTTGTATATTCTTTGAGTAACTTATCCAAATTTGATATACTGTCGTCTGTCGCCAACCTGCAAATTCTTAGCAATTTGGCAGAGGTTTCACAGTGTGATATTAAATTTCTAAGTTTATTTATTTGTTAAATCGTGAGCTGGTGAACCCATGGGCAAGTTTGTTACAACATAATAGGCTTATTATGGCATCATAATCTCAAATCAATCAACCGCGACAAAGCTCTCATGGGATGGATCATGGTTGTACAAATAGGATAATACTTCATTTATTATAACTCATGAACTCAAATTACCCGTCGAACTCTAAATTGACTTTTCGTGTAGGTCAATTACCGTCTCAAGTACCAATACTCTCCAATGCAATGGAGTATGCCAACAAATCAGACACTTCAAGTGTGGATGCTTCTTATCTTGTCGAACAATCATCTTATGCCAACAAAGTTGACTATGAAACGGATTTACTTACGGAAAATGGAATACTAGTAGAAAATAAGCCATCAGATCCTATGCAAAACGAAAATTTTGAACCTACTTTAGAAATAGTAGAGCCAAGTGACATTTTACAAAATGAAATTAAAAAATCGTCTAAAAAATCGAAGAAAACAGCAAAGAAAACGAAAAGAATTGAAGATCTTGACAGAAGTTTGAGTATTTCTTTGGAAGAACTTCTACAAGGAGTAAATAACCAAGAAAGTCCGCCAGTTAATCTGACTAAAAACGATCAAAAAAGTGACTTTAATACATCAAACTTTGATTCACCCAATTTTGCTGAGAATGAACAAATTTCAAATGATTTAGAAACTGTTTTTTCCGAAGATTACATAAAAGACGACAAAGAAAATCAAATTTTCAGTTTAACTGTGAAAACTCTCGATGACAGTGAACCGCCCACAATTGGCGAAGCCATAAATAAACAAATATTGCCCTCGGCAAAACAACCAACGAATTTTAACAATGACGAGACAGAAACGCCACAGGATAGCGGTAGAGTAATTCCTTTTGAAAGAAAATTAGATTTTCCTGAAATTACGACACAATATCGAAATCATGATAACGACAATGACCTTTCACCCACAAGCCAGGAAGTAAACAGTATTTTACACAGCGTTTTAGAAAATGAAATTTTCTTTCCAAGCCATTCTTCTTCTGTTTATACAGAACCATTATCGCCTGCCTATTCTAAAGAGGACTTATCATGCAATGCGAATGAACAATTTAACACTGAACAATCCGATTTTAAATTATCCGACTCAAAGTCAAATTCTTGCCAAACCCCAGAATATTGCAAAGAACTTTCAAGTTTGACAATTGACCTTCCTGTGAACAAGGAACTTGACAATGAGGAAGAAGACAAAGGTAAATATATCTCAATTTGAATTAATGTGTATTTATATAAAGCCAAGCATGAACATTCTATTTGTCTTTTGAATACCATTTTTGCTTTACACAAGACAGAGTGTTTATTTTACACAAAGTGGTCTCCTGTGAAAGTTTTTTTTGTAGAAAATCATGAAAATCTTGCTCTATTTTTCTATATTCTTTATTATCCCTAATTTTGAGGAAAATTCGAAGTTTCAGTGTGAGATTTTTATAATATATAACTTATTGAAATTTATAAAAAAAATTAATATGAAACGATTTTTGAGTATTACGGTATTTGATCTTGACTAAAAAATTGACATTATTAAGTTGTCATTTAATAACTATTTGATAATTTGATTTTAAAATTTAATCAGATGGGCCACAAGGGAGTGGCTATGTTGATTATTGACCGTTCTAATATTTACTTTGTTTATTTTAATTGAAATAGTAAATATAGAATTAGTGTGAACGTGTGATCTAATCTTACTGGCAGATCAGGTTGGGTTTAAAATTTTTGCTAAGTGATGATAGCACTGTTACATTCTAATTCATTATCCTTGATAAATTTGAAATGAGGATTTCTATCATGTGTACAAATCTTAGTTAGAACCACTAGAAGTGGTATTTTTTTTTTTCTTCTTTCCAGAGAGTTTTCTCAAAAGAAAAATTACTTTCACCATAGTCAAATCCATTGTATCAATTAAATTTTTTATGCCTCACCCATTCACCCTTGGAGAAATGCTCCAAGAATCTTACACCATTTTTGAAGTATTCAAATGCAGTTTGCTTGGCGGTGGTAAATATTTAACTTTTTTATCATAAAAGATCCTTGTACAATTCTCGGTGCTCCTGAAGGATCGCCGACACCCGAACATAGTATGTGTACCAGGTTAGGGTTAGGCCATAATTTTAGGTACAAATATTATGGTGGTCACTTGGCTGGTTCCCGAACTCGTAATAAAACTAAAATAAGGAAAATTGGAATAAAATTATGGCATAACCCTAACCTGGTACACCTACTACGTTCCGGTGTCCGCGATCTTGGTACGCATACTTCAGAAGTACCCAGTTTTCAAATTTCTCAAATATTCATCGGTGGTAACGTTTTATATCCTTATCACCAGTTTCATTATTTTTCAGATGGATTTGTCAAATTAAGCCGACCTAGATGTGCAAAGGAAGTTCGTCAAGATGTTTTATATTCAGGAGCTGTTACTTATCCAGGTAGGTGACCTAATGGCAGGGGGCAGAGGGTCGGAAACCCCCTTTTGAAATGTGAAAAATAAACATTTTATTTTATCAATTTTAATTGTTAGTTCTGATCATCATTATTTCAGTTACATTAATTTAGTACAATATCTCACAATCGGTGAGCAATTCATCATTCTTGAGGAGAAGTTCTGTTTTGGCTTTATATTTACCTTATTGGTTTCATTACATTTAAACCCACGCACATTTGAACCCACGACAATTGCACCTATGGAAAAAAATTTTCACGGATATTTGAACCCATACTAACACTAACCCTTGAATTTTAGCACCCGCATATAGATTGAACCCGCGGATATACACATGGGTTCAAATGTACGTGGGATCAAATGTACGGTCACAACCCTATTATATTCTTAGTTATGGTATTTATTATTGCCATAATACTAATCTATATACACATTTTTAACTACTTGAAAGGCATTAGAGTGAACAACCACCTTTTATGTTTCATTCTTACTTTCTCTGTTTTATTCTTTCTATAGGCTGTTATGACAAGAATTGTCGACCCGTGATTTTTCTACACTGTGACATCATAAATGAATTTCAACATGGAAAACTTGATATTGCACGATTGATGTTGTATTTTGTGTAAGTTATGATTTCAAATTAGTTTTATTCATACTTTGAAGTTTTTAGCAAGAAATGGTAATGGACTGTTATTGAAAAGATTTTATGACTAATAGTATAGCATTCCGCTAAGCATTATTGAGAATATAATTGCCATTGCACTTCTGATAACCCTGAGCGGGTTCGCTAGTTCGAATCCTCCGAAGAGATAATTATGTACAAGAGGATCGCTGGATTCCTCGCCATTGTAGGGTGTTTCGCATACCGTACCCACTGGTCATTTGCTGCTTCCTCCACCATCAAGACCATGCATCTGAAACAAATAACTGGCTAAATCATCCTATAATACCCGACATGGACTGGTACCTAGAAGAGAGGCCACAGTTCACCATATGATTCAATCGTGTTGTCAGCTTTCCTCTCTCCCAGGATAAATTGAAAATATATATTTATGTACTTTGATAGATTCCCATTTTTGCTGATCTGAGTACTTTAAATATAAATATATTTTCAATTTTCAAGATATTCAATATTTTCAAGATATTCATCTCCTCTGATTGGCTGATTTCCGTTTCCTTGGTTATGATTATCTATCTATATTAAATACCCTGCCTTCCGGCAATTGGTTATGGTCATCCATGCTTATTATAAAAAAAATTTCTATCACAAAATTAAAATTTTCCTTCAATGAAATACCGCAATTATACATGAATTTTTTACTTTGAAAATATGCTAACTTTTCAGAAAGTATCCGAAATAGCAAATAGCAATATATTCCGTCTCGGCCATCCTTGATACCAAATTATTGGAATTATACAAAATTATTCAATTTATGTACTTTATTCAGATCATCGGCTTCATATGTCACTCTTGTTATTAGTATTCGACATGAGGAAAACATGGAAACCACTATGGATTCTGTTTCTTTGTTTCAGGTATTATTGTTAAAATTTTATCTATAATTTTTTTTTAATTTTTGGGAGAATCCGTATGAAAATGCAGCTTCTTCTGGGATTGATAAAGTGCACTGATAACCCAGACAAGAATTACAAAAGTTACACCATCTTACTACCATCTTTCCTTTTCTTTTGAAGGAATGCCTAAATTGTTTTTAGATCTGGCCTCTCCAAGTTTGCATCGTGTCAAAGTTAATAACACAATAATCAAAGATGCATAATTTCAGTTAGAAAAAATATTTTGCAAAGCAAAGTTTGGCAATGTTCTGGGATAAACATTTGTATTGCTATCATGAAGTAGTTTATCCTGTGCTTGATATCAATTCCATTATGATATTTTGGAAGAAAGTAGAAGTTTTGAGCACAGGAGTAATCAACGGTTTTATTGTCAGTTTTCTGCGCTGTGGTGACAACTGATGCTCTATCCAAGGATGTTCAAAGTGAATCAAATATTCGAATACATTTAAATTTCATTATATTCAATGTAAAACATTTTTTATTTTAGAAATAATTTAGAATATTTTTATCTATAAAATAGAGATTGTTAGCTGTCAGACAAGCAGATCAAACAGTAAGAAATTTCAACTGATAACAAACAACATAGGAAAACAATAAACAATATATTTATGTTGTTTCAGATGTTATCAACATGGAGATATAGTGATTTATGCAATTTTCCCCCTATTTAGAATGTATTCGATATACCATATTCGACAATATTTTGTTAGAATTTATTCTGAACGGTTTTGGCCATCCCTGGCTCTATCCTTCGCCTGAATACTTATTATGATAATTCCGAATGAAGAAAATTTTCCTACCAAGACTTATGTCATTTACCAGAGAAGAAAAAACAGATTATATAGATGTTAGAAACTCAAGTTTCATGCGTCTGATTATTGGAAGGTGTAGCTTTTTTTAATCGTTATAACCAGGATGTATTTACAAACGTGGAGCCAAGGTTCATTGTCATATGTCGAAGAAAGGAGAGCAAGTTATTTGTTGAAAGAAGAAAAGTTTGTTATCGTTATATGAGGCAGGAAGTGAGAGATCAAATAGGTAGGACATAACAAAACTAAATTTGACTTTCGTAGCAGACTTTCAGTTTATTATGTCAGGTATTCAAAATCCTTGGGAACCGGCTTTGGGCTCCCTTCATCTTTTGCAGTATATTTCAGAAGCAAGACACAACAATATAAATCTTTGTCGGTACTCCCGTAGTGTGTGTACCAGGTTAGGGTTAGAGTTAGACCATAATTTCATTTCGATTTTTCTTCTTTTATTTCATTACTATTTCAGAGACTGTCTGTGTTAGCCAAGTGAATATAAACTTGCCCAAAAGTTCCAGTCCCTTTGCACAAATTGATGTGAAGTAGGCGAAAAAATTTGTTACCTTCATATTGGTACACAAACTTCTGTAGCGCCTCTTTGTCAGCAATATGCCTGTTTTTTTTCTCATGTTCTTGCATACATGAAAATTTCTCTTATTTATGCTGTGAATATATTTCATAAGGCTTTTTACTTCTAACTAATGAAATTTGATAGCTCATGGTATTATGTCACTTGGTCACCTAAGTCAAGATTTGAAAGATTTATTGCTACATTATTTATGAATAGATATTGAATTACTTTTTTATTCAGCTTAGGTTTTGGTCTTATATAAATAATTAAAATGCTGTCATTTTTTACAATGAGTCTTTGTACTTTGACTTAAAATCCACAAATTTAAATTAGACTTGGCCTTTCCATTTTTGGAAAGTTAAGATTAACAAAAATGTGATTCGTTCTCTATTTTTTATGAAACCTCAATTGCTCAAAATGATTCTTCCAAATTAAACTAGTCTGGATTATTCTTAGAATCAAACAATGCAATATCAAATATTGTTATTTTGAATAAACTTGAATATTTTTCTTTAATTTTTGACATATCTGGTGTACTCCCGTCTTTTATATGTACTCTACTAGTTTCTATTGCAAATCATGAGTGGTGGAATATGGTAACATCTACGCCAGTCGCCAGGAATTTTGCAACTTTTAATTCAAATATGCCGTAACCTTCCCTAAGTCTCATAAAATCATGTCCTTCTGTCTGAGTGAGTTTAAATTATTACTTTTTATAAAAAGTGACTTTAGTATTACCATTTCTCTTCAGGGTGATGGCAACTGGTAAGACGTCTGATAAATGTGTGTTTTGACTAGACCAACAATTTCTAATCTTCGTAATTATGATTTACAGATAACCCTAGACGTATTATTGTCAATAATTTGATTCTAATTTTATGTAATATGATATAGTTGAGTTACATAATACCTAAAAACTTGTCTGTTTGGTTCAAAATATACACTTGCTATGAATTTTTTCATTTGTTTCTTGATATACTAACTTCAATATAAAACCAGGATGAATTGAACAATTTACTAATTGACAATGTAGAATAGTTACTTTATTTTTATTGGTTTTTTTATCTGCCAGAATTTGAACAAATCTCCAAAGTTGTTGGTATTCGAAGAATAACTTCAAACTATAGCCTATTGATTATTTCTATTTTTTTTTTGACTAAATTTAATAATAAATTATTAATACTTTTAAAAGTATATGTCATTTTCAACTCATTGGTGTATGAATGAACCACGAATGTCCTTAAATCTAATTTACCTATAAGCACTATGCTTATATGATAATCAGGATTCATGCAAAACGTTTGCACAAAAATACTCTCAACTTTAGGATAAAAATGTTCGGAACATACTCGCACAATACTATCCGCAATACAATATTAAAGTTGGCTTAACCCTAAACTGACTAAGTATATTTGGTTACCAAATTAAGCTCTACTTTTCATATAATCTGATGTCATTTGTCTATCTAAATTCATTATTATTGGAAGAATTTTTTACGCTTAACTTTATTATTAAAATTCATTCTTTTAGGTATTTGACATTTCCCACCGGTGCTTTTTACAAGAAAACCTCAATTAATATTTACACCTATTAAATTACCTAAACTTTTATACCTAACCTAGAACAAATTCTTAAGTCCGTATATATACAAGCATTGTATCAATTATGACTGCCTTATTAACCATGTGTGTTTTCCCAAAAATGTTTAAAAAATGCAATGCTGGAAAAACACTCATATAATATCAAAATTGGCTTAACCTTAGTCTGACCCAGAATATGTGGTTACCGAATTAAACTCCATGTTTCATATAATTTGATGTCCTTCTAAACCCATAATTTATATTACAGGGGAATCGACCCGGCATCATATCAAAGGTAATATTTCTCGCTGAAGACAAATCTTTACATCCGGAGTTTGATGCTATTAAAGCTGAGGTAAGAATTTTGTGATTTATAAAGTGGTTCTGTGATTTAATATGAATCGATCACAATTTAGGTATTTATTGATAATACTTTGGTCTTTGCTGTGACTTGTTTCATTTCGTTGGTGATATGGAGAATATGTCCATATTTTCATATAAAAATACAGTCATACAAAACAATGTGCATTGAATGGCTTTCCAGTACATGGGATGGCGGAAGGAACATTAAGAACACGGTTGCATAATTTTCTCATATTACTGAAATATTACGGACTTTTGACATTGGTTTATCTTGTTACTAAAACACAATTTTATTTAGTTATTGTTCGGTATTTTGTTCTTTGCTGTAACTATTATTTTCATGCTCTTCCTGGTAACATGGAGAATGTGTACTTTTTTTTTTATATGAAACTCCTATATGACTGACGCCTTTCACTACAAGCAAAGTCCTGTATAAGCAGACATTGATATGCAAGGAGCTACAACTACCGTTGCATACAGTTATATACTTTTACCTTTTGTTACCACTCTTTGACCTATGACACAACAGTCGGCATATTGGGAACATGCTTTTCATTGCACCTCTGATTACTGGGTTAACATTTGTTTATCTATTTAGCATAATGTCATCCACAGCTATGGAGAACTCCTTGACTTCATAGATGTTGAGAATTTACCGCTAGCCTTCGGTGGATTGAAGGAGTATGATCACAAACTATGGGTACAACAGAGGCTGGTACGAAAAGTTATTGTTTGATATGATATTCTGATATAGGGTGACCCCCCCCCCCCCCCCACCCCCCCAAAAAACGTCTATCTAGAACAGGGGTGAGTATGGTTTTTGGATCAGGGCCCAAATATTTTGCCCACCTACACTTGGTGGGCCATCTAAGTATGACGTAAAGAGTTACATTTTTTGAACAATGTTTACAGTGTTACAAAAGCAACAGTTGAAAACAATAAGCCTCGTGCCCAAACTAAATTTAACCGCAATCTCAACAAAGTTTTTGAGCTATTTTTAACTAAAACATCAAAATTTGGTTTCAGTTTGGTTGTGGCAGCATCAGGCAGACCAGATTGAATTATCTAGCTGGCCGAACTATGCCCATTTCTGATCTAGAACATATCGTTCGGGTTCCTCATTTTGGGTCACCCTTGCGTTCCAACCGTTCTATTTTATTTTATGATACTATGGCTACATTTGAGCTTAGGCTCTGGTAATTAGTCATTAAAATTAAAATAAATGTCAGATCAGGCATGTTCTGTACTTTTCAATCAAATGCTGTAAATATTTCAAAATAACCCACAAAATAAGAGCATTCATGGGGCATTAAAACACCCTTACTCCAAATAAGACTTCAACAAAGTAGCCATTGTTTTTGGCATTTGTTACACCTGAGTACGACTGGTTTATAGGAGGGTTGAACTCCATCATCCTCTTTATCCTCAGACTCCAATGTCTGACATTTCAACCATTAGGTCATTGCACCTATATTCTCCATCACACATTTATTTCCCTTGAGTATTTGATCATAGCCTCATTTTAATCAGCAATATCTTTGATGGTTTCCTGATTGCTTCCTATTGATCTTGTTGTCAATACTTTGGTGCCAATGAGTGTTTACGTCTGATTTATTCATTCATGCATTAGCTTTAAATAGCCAAGCTTCGACTACAGCAATTAATACCTTTGTCGAGATAAATGTCATATGATGTCTTTCGTAACACAAAACTGAGTCTTTTAGAGCTTACCCCATCACCAAGTCTATGCACCTGAAACAAATACGTTGTTAGGCAATCACAAACCCAACATGGTCGAATATAAAGTTGAGAATTCACAGTCTCACAGATATACTAAATCACCTTATAACTATTTCTTCACCCCACATAGTCCAGTATCCGGTCGAAAGGCTGTGGTTTGCCATATGCTTTAAGGCCCTTCTATCATCTTTTCTTTTCCTGATATAAATATGGAAATTTCGTTAACTATTCTCATATCTACCCCACATAGTTCAGAGTCATTGTAGCCCTGAAAGGAACGAAATTGAACCCCTATAATCTTAATAATGTCGCCGTAGAATATGCAACAAGACAATTACCACACCAGTCCTTTCGGTAGTCGAGTTGTATCCGGTAAGTTGTCCGTGTAGTCGAGTAGTCTGTTAGCCGACAAGAGGTCGCGATTTGCCAGAATTTTAATCCATTTTACTCAATTCCCTCTTCTCTCTGGATAAATATGAAACTATTCTAACTATTTTTATACTCTACATGTAACCAATCCCTCTCATCAGCTCCCCTCTCTCCGTGAGAAATAAACCTTAATTGCTCGTGATTGAATATATTTTTATTAATCAGGACATCGAGTCATATGTACTACTCTGCGAACGTCTCGAACACAACTTTGCAAGCAACACAGTGTCAATGACAACAGCGACATTGCCGACTACATTAAACGATACTTCAGATATGTTGAACCGACATCGGTCAACCATGACCAGTTTGCTTGACGACCCAAGAGTTCGTGACCTTCATGATTCGGGTCATCGATTTATTACAGATTTAAACGTCAGTGTTAAGCAAGAAAACCAGTAAGTGGACAGAGTTGAATTCCATTTTTTTTGAATAATTTAAAGCTGCTCTGCTTCGTGTGAATGTACATATTGTGTGGTTGATTGACCAGCACACTTATTTCTTATCATCCCAACTTTATTGGAGTTACTTTATTGGTGTTCTTTCTATGAAATTGTTCTTTAAATTCCATCTTTTTATTTGTATGGCGCAGAGGGGGCCCGTGTCCCATTATCGAGGCCACAGAGCAGTTGGAGCGGGGAAGCACAATGCTAAGCATACAACTAATTTCACTTATTCTTTCAAAAGAACCTCCCGTTCTTCCTAGTTCATCACTACCTCCTCACAGTTTATTTTTCTTTGTTGCAAAGTGTTTGAACATAATGGGAATTGGCGTTTATCAATTTAAAAACACTATGAAATACCAGTAGTATAATAAACAGGTGACCATGAGTGCTAAAAGCTTTCTGAAGGGGTCACGAGCCGTACCACTTGTGTATGGGATAGTATTTTCATATTTGCCCATGGGAGGGAACATTTATGAGCCATGGTCCAACTGTCTGACTAATAGTTTTTTATTTCCTTATGCATGAATCTGTTGGGTGAGGGAGTCATAATGAAAATAGCAACAGCAGTTAAAATTGCTGAAAATCATATCTGTATCTCGAGCGACCCTCAGAATTTCACCTGTGTGGAATAACAGGCCTAAGAACACAAGACAGATGTCCAATCTCACAACCTTTGTCTATGTGTTTGCTTCCAAATTTATCAGCATTAGGAGAGTAGAGTTTTATATTTCGTTTATTTTGGGAGATAGGAAAACTTGTGAGCCGACATGACATGATCATATGGCGAATAGAGGCCCCTCGTCTTGTTTTCGGTCCATGTTGAGTATAAAATAGTCAACCAGTTATTTGTGCCAGAGGCACAGGATGATTATTATTGGATTTTTGTAATTAACTTTTGTGAAAGAAAAACTGATAATATTGCTCAAGTATATAAAATAGTTTATTTCGACTTCATAATCAGCATGAAAGCCGATTAAATGATTGATAAAAACAAATAAATAAAAACTGAATATGAAATCAGGAAAGCTAACAAAACCTTGGATAAGGTTTAGAACGTACGGAACAAAAATGGAAGGTTTTGCCAAAAGAAGTTGTACGTATTCACTCTCCTACACCCGAGCCCCTTACTTGGTTATTAGCCCTGACCGGTTTTGTTAATTAACCTCCTTATTTTTTCCATGCTTGACTTGGATTTCATTTTATTGATAGAACTGCAATTAGTTTGAACTTATTCGACACAAGCAATTAAATTTAATTTTTCAAACCTTGTTCAATACTTACTTATTCAGATCTTATTCTGATCGGATTCACTCCAGTTATGAATCAGTTTGTTCTGCAATTCAGAGATTTGTCCAAGCTGCTGATGAAAGATTGCTTGCTCTTGAGCGACATCTATTGGTCAAACAATTTGAAGAATCCTGTGACAGAGTAAGGGTGTAATTTTTCATGCCATGTTATCGAGTGTTTTCCATATATCCTTGATGCTGTTTCAGTCAGGGATGTCCAAAACGAATCGATATGAGTTATTGTCAACATTCCAAGTTCTTAATCGAGGGAATAATTTAGAACAGTCGTCAGAAAAGTTGCCTTTTATTTCCATTAAGGAAAATATGAAAATCCTAACGTATTGATTCCATGGGTCACGCTCAGTCAGCCTTTTCTTTTAAATCAATCAATTTCATTTTGGTCGCTCTGGCATAACACAAAACAGCATAACAATACCAAACAAACAAATCAAATGCAGATTTACCTGTGAATTGGGATAAATTTGAAACGTACAAAAAGTAGGATTCCAATTACAAAAAAGTGAAAGCACATAAAATAAACAAAAAAGATCCGGGCAATACTTTTCGAATCTTCTTCCATTAAAATGTGCATATATTTCTTATCCATCTATAGATATTGTCATGGGCATCTGATCGTCGTGACGAGCTCCATCAGAAATTTGGAGAAGTCGCCGATTCATTGAACGATTTGAGAAAACAAAGAGTGGAATTCGATCGTTTTTATTTGGAAGTTGTGGTGAGTTCCTAGTTTATTTGAATTCAGTAATTAGTAATTATTTTCTTTATTATACTGAAAAAACGAAGTATACATACACAAATTAAAGAAGAAATTAAAGAAAAATTGCAGTTTAGGATGAAGGAGACGCCGAAAACGAATTCTGGTTATCCATCGGCGACACCTTTAAATAATATATGTAGTTTAAATGTGTCAACAAGAATAGCGGGATTTCAAGTTTGTATCAGAAGACAAAATTAATTACGTCACAATTGCGCGGTATTTGTGGCTAAAACAGTCGATATGTATTTATAAATCATTGATGATCTTCCATATACTTCGTATGCTACCTACAACATGCTAGAGTTTTATTGAATGCAAGCTTATTTTGGCTTCATAATCTCACTCGGATTCTTGAAAAGGGATGAGAGCATGAATATGGACGTCAGGAAAGCAAACAGAAAGTTTTTAATATTAGTAAGCTTAAAAATTGCAAGCAGAACTTATCACAGTTCAAGGAAGGGCGCTCCAGAAGTAATGTACCAATGTGAAGGTAACTAATTTTTTTCGCCTACTTTACATCAAGTCGTGTACAGGAACTGAAACCTATGTATACTCACTTGGTTAACACAAACAGTCCCTGAACTCGTAGTAGAACTAAAATAAGTAAAATCAGAACGAGAATATTGGTCAGAGACCGGAGACTTATCGATCGAAAGTTAGGGGATCCCCCAAAACAGCGCTCTTACTCCATAGTGACACCTTGTGTTCCATCACTAATTAATTGATAACTCGCTAATTATACGACATAATTCGCCCAAAATCAATAGGCTTCTGGTCTGAGATAAGATGAATGCACATGCAAAATCTGGAGCAGATTCAATCTCGCTTTCGTGAGATATCACATGTATCTAACAGACATACAGACAGACAAATACCTATCAACATACTTACCGATTAAAATCGATAAGTAATAATATTATGGCCTAACCCTAACCTGGTACACACACTGCGTGAGTGCCGTCTAGCTCTTAATTGAAACTAACCCACAATTGGTGTCTGGTATATCTCCAACTAAAGAGTTCGCACTTGAACTTAGCCAGGGTTCATGTCTCGGCCCCATGTTTTATATATCTTTATTTATGGCCATGAATGTTCCTCGGTCTTAAATTCTATCGTCGCGACGTTTCTCACAACACCACAAATTCAATATGTGTTCACTGTTCACTATATACATATTTAATTGTATTTTAAAAGTATATACACCAATACCACACTATTGGATGGTATTTATATAAAGGGTGTTGAAAAAGTCACGCAAAAATATGTAAATTTTTTTGTCGTGGCAACGTTAAAAAAGTAACTTTGAAAAAAGCGTCAGTCGTGAAATGTTTAAATGACATTTCGCCCTAATTCAATACTGTTAAAAGGTGTCAGTCGTTAAGTGTTTTAAGTATAGCATTTCATCTTTACTTCTGTTAAGTTTGCGTTACTTTTTCAACATTTTGTATAATAATGTTATATTCCTTTTATATAAAAAAAGTCTTGTCGTTTTTGGGTTATCGCGTTTCATAACGAATAGCGTCGATGGTTCGAATCTGGTTAGTTTATCTATTGTTCCTCGCGGCATAATTATGCAACTTTGAAACCTCATATCTCGCGAACCTTACTTTTACATTAAGACAAGTTTTATATTGTTCGAAAGACAATTTTGATGATTAATTATAATTCTGAAATGAAGATAACATGTTGTGACTATCCTACAAATATCGGCAAAATTGAAAAGCGTGAAAATTTATTTTTGAAAGGCTTTTAAATTAAATAACAAAAACTTCGATTTGTTCTTGCTTTGAGCTAATACGATATCGACACATTTGTGAAGGTTGGCGTGGCTTTCGAATGGTACCATTAAATTGAATTTTTGAGGTTTCGACAATGCCCAGTTGGAAGATTTCGAACCGATATCTTGCCCATCTTCTTTACCTAAGACTTACTACACTGGGTAGGCTGGGTAACAATACCGAATTGGAAGACTCCAGCCTTTCCGAAAAATATCAGCTATTTACGTATCATTGACTACTTGCACATAGCCTTTTTCGGAACAAAGGCGTATAAACGTCACCGTCACCACACTGAGCGACACTTTATAATTAGCCATGATTGCAGAAGCGAATATGCATTTTAGAATATCCAGTAAATATCACACTTCAGCTGCGATGTAGGCAGTTACAAACGGCAAAAATATAGGGTGGCCATCAAGTCTTGAAATTTTCAAAAAATGCAAAGGGAATTCATCAATACCATATATTGTTTTGGCCCGCACAGATGTATTAAATGAAGTAAAAATACTTAAAACAATTACTGATTAAAAAGACAACAAACCTGGTTAAGATATATTGAGAATTGACTTCATAACAAAATTGAAATTGTAAAGGGACTTCATGGACACCCTGTGTATTTGCGGATGTTGAACCCAGTGCTTGCTCTTGACTTCCTCAAATGTCAATTTTACCAATATTGAACTTTCCCAGGCGTTTATGGTTTCATAAGTGTCAACCAGGTTCATATTTTGACGAGTTTCATTTAAAAATTTCGTAATTTTTGAAGTGTTTAGTAGAATATCAAGTTTAATTTGGCCTTATTAGGTGGACTTTGTTCACAGTTACAGTCTAATTTTGAATTTATGATCGTCTACATATTGTGCTTGGGTTGCATAAGTGTAGGTATATTTCGACTCATTTATTCAGCACAACGGGCGATACTCAATAAAAAGAAATAGAAAATGATCACATAGTCAGAAGAACAAACCAAGCGGTACTTGTTCACTTAGCTACAGAATATAATATGTTAATGGTTTCTTATATTTAAATTCTCAGCACAGTTCATATCTTGACGAGTTCATTTTGAGGAATTCCGTCGTTTCTGAATTGTTTAAATTATTAAATTTCACTTGACCCTATATTGTATACGTTGCGGCCAATTACTTTCAAATTCTAGGTCTTGATCACCTCCATAAGTCCATTACCTTATTGTCATAGATATAATAGGAGTGAGTTTATATCGACTCCTTAATTAATCACCATAACGGGCGATCAAATAAATGATATAAGCCATTTCAAGGTCAAACAAAACCTCAAGTGGTCTTTAAAACGTGCAAAAATTAAATGAAAGTCTGTTGCCAAAAGAATTGTTTTTTAGTGTTTATGATATTAAGTTTTATATTATGACCTTATTTTATAAACTGTGTATAAGGTTGTGATAGATTTTGGGTTTGTGGTCGGCTGTATATTGTGCTGCATATTGTTCTTTGGTTTAAAACGTATACAACTTACTTTATTTAAAATGTGTTACAAAAAGCAGTGTTACGTGTTTGCTTATCAATATATGTTGAAAAATATCGCTTTATCACGTAACCACAAAAAAAAATCCCTTCTTCCGCCATACAAGTTTTTGCATCAGCGTTCATTACTTGTCCAGTTCGAAGTTAAGGCGTGAAAGTTCCTATATTAACTACCGGTAGCTATTTACAAATACAGACTGGACGAGTGCTCATGCGAGATTCACGATCCGATCTCTCTTATCTAGTCGGGATGAAAAAAAAACGATGCCACCAAGTACTTCCGCCGGAAGAATACTGTAATCATGCAAACATACTCAAGTGCACGTATAAATGAGACCATTACAGAATTATGACACCGCTCTAACTATGAAGACAGTAATTATTACTATTAAATAAGTAAGTATTAAAACCGCTAATTCTGTCACCACTGATGGTTCATTTTCATAAAATACATCCCCAAAGCAAAAATTATCGATTATTAGATTACCAAATACAATTATCGGCTAAACCTGCGAAGTCTGTAACGGTAATGTTACTTTTTATAGCTAGTTATGTATTCGACCCTATTTAGATCATAGCCCCGTGCTTCCAAATATGGTAATATGACGTTTTCCTGCCGCGTGATTATTTTGAAAGCAGAAGTTGCGCTTTCCGGCATATACATTTTAGTATAACATGTATCCTTTCGTGGTAAGAACCCTTTTGGGATTATTTAGTAGTTTAAAACGGATTATTGGTCTTATATATCATCTGACGCGCGAGTATAGGGGTGTCTATTTAAATAAAAAGCTGAGAACAGTTAAACGAGACTTTATTTCAAACGAAAATAGTCTTCTTTATGTGTTTTTTATTTTGATTATTTGACCGTCATTTATTTATACCAAGAACAGTTAATTACATTTATTTCTGGAACTTGATAGCCACGTGATTCGATTTGGCAGTTTTCACTGTTTTATTACTACTCATATCTATGATAACGTTTAAATATCGACGTATTTGTCTTGTATGATTATATTCATCGCTACATGTATTATATTCGATAAACCGGTAAATCATTCCATAACTCACTCACGAACGATATATGCTTGGTATTTTACTATATTAAAATATTTTGCTCGTATATCCGTTTGTCCTTATTCCCTTCTGAAAGCAACGAAGTTTGAGGAGGCGATCAATGAACTGTTTAAATTTATTTGTTAAGTTTCTAAATATAGTTTTATTATCGGGTATTAATAAAGCTAGAATCAACTGAGTTCCGGTTTATATTTTACATATTAATGCATATCTTTAGGCAAGGATATCCGGTTACATTTACCTCATGACGTCATGGTTACGTCACGATGACGATATTCTTGGTCTTTTATATGTAAAAATTATGCATTTTAGCAATTTTCCGCGGAAATGAAAACACAATCACAACGCAAGCTGACACACATTGGACCAAATAATCCTCATTTGTGCATTCATGCGAATGGCACCGCTGCCTCGCCGGGTTTCCGGATTGTGTGCATCGCGTTTGCTGAGGTGTAGAAAGTTTGACAGATTAGAAATGACTGTTTTGTTGAAAGGTTAAAGAATCGCGATGAAATAAAATATGAGGAAGTCTGATATTAGTCCGACGAAGCGGTACATAAATACAATTGTGTTAGTGTGCAGTAGGACTCTTGAGTAGCCTTGCATT